CCGTCACGCATCAGTGATTGCTGTGCCCCTGGTCCTGCTTGCTGAAATATCCATGATTCGTCATTCCATATGTTGCAGAACTGGGCCTGCATGATGCCTCATGGCACTTCCATCTGCAGAGCGCGTGCAGCCCACAGGTGTTGCCGCACGTGCGTCTCCTCACGACTGCCCGGGGAGAACATGCCCGTTACTTGTTTTGTTCTTCTCCCTTTTTGGCTTGTGTGCTGCGTTCTGTTTTTTACTTTGTCCTGATTCTGGCTTTCTATTGCTAGCTTTCCGCTTTCTGCCTTCATCTGCTTTTGCTTTGGTTGAGCCACTTGAGCTCAGCTTGGTGTCAGTCTGAGATCGGTTGTGCGACTCGTTCCATGAAGTGATCTGGAGGCCCGTCAGCAGCCCGAGCTCTCTGATGGTCTCACAACAGGTCATGGACCCAGACATCACAGTGGGAGTGGGCAAGGTGTGTGTGTTTCCATGATGGTCTCCTCCCCTCGTCGAGTTCTGAGGCTGTGGATCTTGCGAGGTTCGCCGTGCCACCAGTGTACAAGGCTTTCGAAATCCTTGCTTGGCGTATTGTGATGGATGAGGGTGGACCTACTCTTTTCCCCATGCTCTTGAGGCTTTTGGAAGTAGGGCGTTGATATGCTCAGATCCAGCCAAAGACAGCAACCTGCTGGGAATCCCCTGTATCAACTAGAAACGACCCAGGTCCTGACTGTGCAGGTATGGTTGAGTTGTTTTGCAACCAAGACCCTGCTAGACTGCTAGACGTCCTGACAGCACGGATCGTCTGAAAAAGCCACCGTTTTTTTGACTTCATTTCGGTGGCTTAGATTGGAGTCTCAGCTTGAGACCTCCTTTTGTACCGTCGTCAGGGCACAAACGTGATGTGTCCAACTTCGGTTCTTCTCGCTTTGAATACGTTGAAGATACTGGCGGCGAATGGGCCAGCCGCGGTAGACACAGCCCTACGGAGATGTTGTAAACGAAGAGATCAGGTGATTCCTCGATTTAGAAAGAAGGTGCCGGCTACCTACATCCTCCCCAAACGAAAGGACGCAGCCAAACTACTGCGGAAACACTTAATTACACCGACTGCAGCAGCGACATTCCTGAAATGCTATGACCTGACACATGCAAAATTGCCCTGGCGCCAGTGGCCAAAAAACTGGCCAGATCGTTGGCTTCATATGGCCTCAGAAACGTGGTACCCTCTCTCAAGATTACGCCAGTTCTCGCGCATTTTCAGGTCGACACCTGTTAAGCTCTGAGGTGACAACGGAGATTGCTCAAATGTGCCGCCGTCACACGTTTAGGGGCGTACTGGGCCTGACAGCAGAGTACGCTACCTGGTGCTTGAGCGGCGATTTCGACGCACCCCGCATCTCCATCACTTTTGATGGGGATAGCGGGGATGTGCTCGGTGGATTGGTCTGGCGGCCCACGCAGCAAGGAGCCAACGTGCTCCTTGCTTGCGGCGCTGCGAAAAAGGGGGCCGCCAGGGACCTCTTCGGGGGCCTGGAGGAGCACTCACTGGTTCTTAACTTGTCGTGGCATGGTCCAAGTAGCACTGCGGACTGCGGCAAGCGCTGGGAGGACCGTCTGCGCCGCACCGGTGGCGGGATCCTTTCTGTCGACGCTTCTGGCGATGCCCAGACCTACTGGGAAGCCCGCGGTTTCGACCCGGCTTCCTGGGAGAAGCTGGTACCGGGCCTTGAGTAAAGTGAAATTGTTCCTTTCCTTTCTGGATCACGAGTCAGACGTTGCCCGGAAGGGCTCATCGTCCCTAGAGCTCGCATTATGATGTTTAATTGCTAGCATGTCTCAAGCTCGATGCGGCGGACCTGCTTTGCACGCGTCGCGCTTTAAACTTTTTGGGTCCTTATTGAGCAGAAATACTAGAATTTAGCCTTTTGCCCCTTGGTAAAAGGAGCCAAAAGACAGAAAATTCTTCCTTACGAGGGCAGCAAAGGGATATTTATCTTGTATTTGTTTTTTTTTGGGGGGGGGCTCTTTAGCAAAAGCAGGGCAGGGCCATAATATGGAGCGCCAGGATCCAGGTGAGACCTAATAAGAAGCCTTTGAGTCACTTCAGCTTCTTGGGCGGTTTTTATGGAAAAAGGCATGAGGCCTAAACCCAAGACCCTATAGACCCTAAAACCTAAACCCTAAGCCCCAAACCCTAAACCCCAAACCCTAAACCCTAATCCCTAAACCCTAAACCCTAAACCGTACGCTGAACACCCACGCTCCGAACTTACGCACCTTGCCTTTCTGAGGTCGCAGCAGCCCAGCTCAGCTGCAAAAGCCAAGTGTCGGCCCGGTACCCAGCAGACTGTCTGAGGGTTTAGGGTTTAGGACTTAGGCTTTGCTTTCATGACCAAACCCTATCTGTTATATACAAGTGCAAACTGTAATGAAATTCGTGGGCCAGGCCGGAAAACCAGAAAATTCGTTGGCAAGGTTCGAAAATTCGCGGGCAAGGGCAAGGCCCGAAAATTCGTTCCAGCGCAAAAAAATTGAAATCAGCTGTGTGAAGAATATTAATCCTCGTATTTCTTAAAAGTGTTGGGATTCTCTGGGTGGATGGACATTTTCCTAGCCCGGGGCACCAAGCTCGACCAGAGACTGCTCGACCCGGAGCCGCTGAACCCTAAACCCTAAACCCCAAAACCCTGGACCCTAACCCTTAAACCCTACGTTCCTCACACCCAAGCCCCTCAATCTCACAACCTTACTTTCTGGTTAGCAATGGCTCCAGTAGTTGCCAATGATTTCAGGCTCCTCCCCCTATCCCAGAAAGCAATCCTTAAACCCGATCTAGCTAGCTCTCATATGTCATATCCAATGTGTACTAACTGACAGACAGGCAACTTGTGTTGCAGAATGTTCCCTTTAAACCATTAGCTCTCTAACCCTAGACCTTGGAAACCCTAAGCCGTCTAAACCTTAAACCCCAATCCCTAAACCCTAAACCCTAGGCCTGAATCTATGCCATAAACCACACGACAAGCTCACGCAGCTCAACGGCTCCAGGCCTTGCAGCAACTGGGGCAGGCAGGCTCCTTGTGCGTAGGAATCCAGAAGGTTTAGGAATCAGGGTTCAGGGTTTCGGGTATGCCAGCAGCGTAGATCCCAAACAGTGAGGGTGGAGTCCCTTTCGAGTGTGTGACACACTGCTCGGGTAACAAATGCGTGGCTCCAAGACAAACATTCTATGCGTTCTGCGTGTACATGTGAGTATATATTCCAGAGGGCGTCTTTTTGGAAATCTTGGAACACAAGCTACTATTTCCGGAGTTGGATGCTTCCGGATACCTACTTTAAGCATGCCCGGTCTTGGGAACCTTTAGGGGTTTAGAGGGTTCTTCTGGGTTTTAGGGTCTTAGGGTTTAGGGTTTAGGGTTTCAGAAAGGTTTAGGGTTTAGGGTTTAGGGTTTAGGGTTTAGGGTTTAGGGTTTAGGGTTTAGGGTTTAGGGTTTAGGGTTTAGGGTTTAGGGTCTAATTCTTGATGGCTTAGGTTTTGGCATTGAGTGTTTCATTCAACCTCTGGGACAAGCCTGCAAATGGCCGCGGGAGCGTGGCAAGCCTTGACAGTTGCCCTAAACCCTAAACCCTAAACCCTAAACCCTAAACCCTCAACCCTAAACCCTCAGGATCCCTGGGTGAAGGAGGCTTACTGGCTCAAAACCCAACTCCTCAACTTTTGGGCTTCTTAGAAGGTAGTTTATTCTGAAAGTGTCAGCTTTTATTTGAGGTTGATGGTTTTGTGGCGTATAAGGTGAAGTCATGTGGACATAGGTTGCGGGGTGGGGGCACCTGAGCCCTGAACCCTAAACCCTAAACCCTAAACCCCAAACCCTGAACCCTAAACCCTACAGCCGCAGCCCTTACTTAATGCACATTCCCACTTACTTTAACAGATCCTCAGATCTTGCTTGAAGATTCTTAAGTGCTTAGAAGTGCTGGGTATAGGGTTTAGGATCTAGGGTCTAGGGTTTATAAGGGTTCAGGGTTTAGGGGTCTAGGGTTTAAGGTTTAGGGTTGAGGGTACAAGGCCTAAGCATTCGCCACGACTACATCTTAGCCAGGTGCCTGGCACGACCTCTGACGCCGACGCAAACCTAGCTGAGCTGCCGAAAGTGGTGCAGGGCGTATGTACGCCTTAAACTACGTTTAGGGTTTAGGGTGTAGGGGTTAGGGTTTAGGGGGTTTAGGGGTTTACGGGTTTAGGGGTTTAGCGGTTTAGCGGTTTAGGGTGTAGGGCTGCCCCGCAATTGGCACTCGAATTCCCTTTTGTTCTTTGGTTCTCGGTTCTCTTCTTAACCGGCCAAACTCTACACCCTAAAGGGCTGCTCATAAAGTCCGCCAGGCTCCAAAGGGCAGCGTGATTTAGGTGAGTTTGGGCGTTCGCTCTCCAGATTTTGGGTTTAGGGTTTGGGGTTTAGGGTGTAGGATTTAGGGTTTAGGCTTTAGGGTTTGGGGTTTAGGGTTCGCGGTTTAGGGTTGAGTTTCTGGGTGGACATGGATGTGTTTTCGCCGCTTTCCTCGAGGAACAAATGAGCCTTACTGGGTTCAGAGTTGGTTGATCCCATTTTGGGGTTGTTCGTGTAGTCCCGAATACGTTTCGTGGGAATGAGAGGTCTAGTGCCTCAGTGCTCAGGGTTCGGGGCTTCAGAAAGCGACTGAACTATATAGGCCACGGATGATTCACCAGAATTTCGGGTGCGTGTGCCGCAGCAGGCAAAGACTCATAGACCCATGATGCTGAAGCTAAACCCTAAAAGGCCTAACCCTAGAACCCTCAAACCCGCAAAGCCCTCCACCCAAAATATCCGAAAACTCTACGCGCATAACACCCCCAAAATACGACAGCCCTTGTTTTAGGAACCTCCCAACATGGGTCTCGGAAGTCCCAGATTACACACCTTGAAAACTCTGAACCCTAAACCCTAAACCCTAAGGGTTCAGGGTTCCATTCAGGAACCAAGAAACCTGCGGCCATGGGTGCACTCGCCTCGCAGCTTCGGGTCGCCTGCCCATGCACGCTTCGTGACCGCCCCGTTCCTCGTCGTGCTTTGCGGTTTAGGGTTCTAATTAGGGTTTAGGGTTCAGGGTTTTGGATTAGGGTTTAGGGGTTAGCGTTTAGAAGGTTTTAAGGATTTTTCGAACCCTATGAACCCTAAAGCCCTAAATCCCTAAACCCTGTACCCTTTTTTTCGGGTTTAGGGTTTCAAGTCAGGGTTATTAGGAGAGTTGCCTGATGTGTGGGGTCATGTTTAATTTCCCTGTGGATTCAGAGTACATAGCTGCCAGGAGGAGTCTCTCCCTGCAGCCAAGCAAAACAAAAGCAACACGCGCGTGGCATCACTCAAGGCCGTTTTAGGGCTTAGGCGCAAGGGCTTTAGGGTTCCCTACACCCCAAACCCCAAACCCTAACCGAAACCCGAAGCCCTAAACAGACCTAACCCCCCTTGCAAAATCTAAGAGTCCTAATCTTCTCAATTCCTAAGCTCAGAGATTACGAGCCCCGAAGAGCTCTAAATACTAGGATGAGGGCTACGGGTTCAGGGTTCAGGGTTCAGGGTTCAGGGTTTAGGGCTTAGGGTTTAGGGTTTAGGGTTTAGGGTTTGGGGTTTGGGGTTTAGGGTTTAGGGTTCGGGGAGAAAGTTTGGCAGCTGAGGATGCCTTGGAGGGCGCCAGCAGTAGCAGCTCCGAGCTTCCCACAAGGCGATGGTCATGTTAGGGCTTCCAGGGGTTTAGGGTTTGGGTTTAGGGCTTAGGGCTTAGGGTTTAGGGGTTAGGGTTCAGGGTTCAGTCTTCAGGCTTCAGGCTTCAGGGTTTGTGGGGTTTATAGGGGTTAGGGTTTAGGGTTTAGGGTAGTAGTATCGCCCCTTATGATTCATGCTTCAGAGTTTAAGCTGGTTGCGCGGACGGGATGGGACGTAGGGTTTCGGGTTTCGGGTGTAGGGTTTGGGGTTTAGGCTGTGGGCAGGTTGAGGGTTGAGGGTTCAGGAGATGATTGGATGAGATTTGGGGCCGTGGGGTTTCGGGGCTTTGGAGCTTTGGGGGTTTTTGGTTTTGGGTTTTGAAATACGGGTTGGGTTGCCGGCATGGTGTTTCATGGTTTCAGGTGTCGGCAGTACATGTACTGCGGCCCTAAACCCTGAACCCTGAACCCTAAGCCTAAACCCTGAACCCTAAGCCCTAAACCATAAACCATTCACCAGAACTCCAGAAGAGCCTTTTCGGACCGCGAGCCCCACATCCCTAAAGCCCTTAAGCCCGTACCCCTAAACAAAACCCTAAAAGCCGAAAACCTAAAACTCTAAAGCCCTAAGACCCTAAAGCAACCCCTCAAGCCCTAAAACCCTAGAACCCTAAGACCATAAAACCCTAAAACCCTAAGCCCCAAAACCATAAACCCTAAGCCCTAAAACCCTAAACCGTGGTAGATTCGAAGGCTTCGTGTTTGCGAGCTCTTCGCCGGCATCGGGGGATGGCGACACTGCGGCTGCACACGTTCCGAGGCGTTAGACTCCGTTGGGCAAGGGGTTTAGGGGAGGGGGGTTTAGGGGGTTTAGGGGGTTTAGCCCTAAACCCTAAACCCTAAACCTAAAACCTAAACCCTAACCTTTAAAGGGGTTTAGGGGACTTTAGGTTAGGGGTTTAGTGGTTTGGGCTGCGCGGTGGGGCTGCCATCTTAAGGGGCTCTCTAAGGGTTTAGGCATTCTAACTTCCTGCGGCACAGACGTAAGGCGTAGTAGTCCACGCCTCAAACCCTTAACCTCAAAAGTCTCAAAAACCTCAACAACCTCAAAAGTTCCAGGACCCTAAGCCCCAAACCCGAACCCATGACACCCTAAACCCTAAACCCTAAACCCTAAACACTAAACACCGACAGTGTAATGAGCTGCCCCCGTAAGGCCTGGCCTTACAGGCCATGCTGCCCCAGGGCGTCTCTGCACGCTTTCATCCCTACGAGACTTGGCCTTAGTAGCTCATTCTTTAGGGTTTAGGGTTTAGGGTTTAGGGTTTAGGGTTTAGGGTTTGGGGTTTGGGGTTTGGGGTTTAGGTCTCTGCACGCGTTCATCCCTACGAAACTTGGCCGGGCGCCCTCTGGAAAGGCTCTTTTTTTGCTTAACCACAGGTTTTCCGGGTTTAGGGTTCTAGGGTTCCAGGGTTGTAGGGTTCTAGGGTTTTAGGGTTTTAGGGTTTAGGGTTTCAGGGTTTTAGGGCTCTAGAGTTTTAGGGTTTTAGGGTTTTAGGGTTTTAGGGCTTTAGGGCTTTAGGGTTTTAGGGTTTTAGGGTTGAGGGTTTTAGGGTTTTAGGTTTCAGGGCAGGGTTTAGGGTAGGATACATGTGTTATCAGCTTGGGTCCCACTGGCAAGCTCCGTTGCTTCACATGTCACTGCCTCACAAGCAAGTAGCTCAAGTGATAGAAGTTCTTAAATCCTTGTACCCTTGGTAGCCCTCTGGTACCCTTTTGCCTTTTTGTGGTTCAAGGTCCTCTTCTAAAGGAACCAACCCCACAACGGCTGCCCTTATTACATTATGGTTACCGGGCTGCTTGGAGGTTCATGGTACCTTTTAAGCAGTTATAACTGTACTTATAACCCACTTATGAGCCCTTTAAGTGCCCTAATAGGGTTTTAAGTGCAGTTATCAGTACAGTAACCCTAAACCCTCAACCCTAAACCCTGGACCCCATAATTGGTTAACAAGCACCATGAACCTCCAAGTACCAAGTACCTGAGTTGGTTGCTTCGACTCTCTCCAGGCTTTAGGGTTTAGCGCCTTCGACTCCCCGAGTGGAACGTTGAGGTTTAGGGTTTAGGGTTTATCGGGTTTAGGGTTTAGGGTTTAGGGTTCAGGTTTAATGCAAGCCCCAGAAACTTCTACAATGCCTGGTCCGCAATAGCACCCTGGACGCTGCTTGAGCCCAGGTACTTGGGCTCTAAAGACTCTAAATGAAGAGCTTCCAGGGATTGCGAAACATCGGGTTAGAGGAATTCAGGGGTATGCGGTTTAGGGTTTAGGGTTTGGGGTTTGGGGTTTGGGGTTTAGGGTTGCGCGCGTGCAGGTTACGGAGATTGCACGAAGTGGGGTTTAGGCTCTGGGGCATGGGGCTTTCAAGGTTTTAGATTCGCTTACGGACCCCTCAAGCCATAAGACCCAAAACCCAAAGCCCCAAACCCTAAACCGTAAACCCTAAACCCTAACCCTAAGCCCTAAACCCTGAACCCTAATTAAACAACCAAACCTTAAACCCTAAACCCCAAAGCCCACGATCCCCAAACAGCAAAGCTACGGCAGCCTTGGTGCTAATTTGAACCCTAATTAAGACCAAAGCCCTAAGCCCTAAACCCTAAACCCCCAAGAGATCCATCGAGGACAGCGGCCCTCACTGCAGTGAGGTCTATGCGCGCAACTTTGGCGACACGGCCTGGGTTGGAATTAGGGTTTAGGGTGTAGGGTTTGGGGTTGGAGGCCGTTTTGAGCTTGGGTGTTGGGTTTGGGGTGTATAAGGCCGATAGGGGGTTGGGGTTCAGGGTTTACGGCTTGAATCTGTGAACAAGCGCTGGCATCTTCACCCTGAGAATGAGTAGCAAAAGCTCTCATCTTTTTTCGTCTGGGGACGGATGGAGTTGAGTTGTGAGTGTGGTTCTGGTTTTTTGGGCCTTATACACCCCAAACCCATACCCTTAATCCTAGACCCTAAACCCTAAATCCTAAACCCTGAGCCCTAAATCCTAAACCCTAAGCCCTGAGCGACCCCAATCAACCCCAAACGACCGGAACCCTAACACTCTCTGAGCCCGAACCCCCCCAGTGAACCCCCACCAATTTCCCCACCAATTTCTGGCGAAACGGGACACTGAAACGGCCTAGATGGTTTCGGGCGTGCAACAATCTGAAGGATATGAAGCTGGCGGCGCAGGTTCCCCAAAACCCTGAACCCTGAACCATAAACCCCCTAAACCCAAAACCCCAAAAGCCATGAACCACAACCGCAAGAACTCTAAAACCCAAGAACCCTAAAGCCCAATCCCCTTGTGTTGGGGCTTAGGGTTTAGGGTTTAGGGTTTAGGGTTTAGGGTTCAGGGTTCAGGGTTCAGGGTTCAGGGTTCAGGGGTTTAGGGTTTCGGGTTTAGGGTGTTTAGGGGGTTTAGGGTTTAGGCCCAGGCCCTTCCTAAAGCTCCTAGAGGTGAGCCATGCTGCCGCCGAAACATCGAGCAGCTGGCTGCCAAGGATCTTGAGGACTTCGACGTCCCTTTGTGGCAGCCAGGGTTTGGGGGGTGTAGGGTTTAGGGTTTAAGGTTCAGGGTTTCGGGTTTAGGGTTTAGGGTTTAGGGCTACGGGTTGCGAGACGCCCTAAACCCATAGCCCCACACTCAGTCTGAAAGCCTACACCTGAAATCCCCAGCCTTCAAATCCAAAGCGCGCACGCAAGGCTGATTTAACTCAAGGTGGGGTGGTTGGGGCGTGAGGAACCCTAAACCCCTAGCAGTTTAGGGCTGGTTAGCCTTTTTGTGGTTCAAGGCTTCATTTTTTAAGTAACCAACCCCAAAACGGGTGCCCTTATTGTAATATGGTTACTGGGCTACGTAGACGGTCTATTATGAGGTGGGGTGGTTGATGTGGGACCCAAGCCCAACCTAAAGGAGGTACTTGGAGGATCGAGGCGCTTACTAAGTAGGGATATAAGTACCTTGGGGTTATAAGTAGAACATCAGTAGAATCCCTTCCCCCTTGTATTGAACGCACCCCCTCCCCCCTAATTATCAAAACACTTTCCGGAAAATCCTCCCGAAATCGCCCCACAAACTTAAAACCTGTTCCGAATTAGGGGGTGGGTTGAGGGCTCCCAAAACCCTCAAGCCAACCATCATCCTGAAGCTCCCTTCCCTCCCTCCCTTCCCTCCCAGTCATTTCGCAGCACTTAGCTGTGTGGAGCTCGCTCTCTCTCTCTCTCTCTCTCTCTCTCTCTCTCTCTTTCAGTTTACACCCTAATTGCGTTAAACCCTTTGGACACCCCAGACATGACATTTGGATAAAAACATCCCCCCGAAAGTAAAACCACATGTCGAGTTTCTATTGGGGGAAGGGGGGGGGGGGGGGTGCACCCGTTTAATATCAGGGGGAAGGGATTAGTGATCCTGCTATTATAAACCCCACTTACTAGGTCCCCTGAACCGTTTAAGTAGCCCTAAACCCTAAACCCGAAACCCTAAACCCTAAACCAGTAGACCAAGCCAGAGCGGGACTTCCTCCAGGTTTGGCTCATGTCTCCTCCTTGCCAGCCCTTCTCGACCACACGGGAGGCACCTAAGGGTTTCTGGCGGGGGGGGGGGGGGAGAAGGAGAAGGAAAAGGAGGGTTTAGGGTCTAGGGTTCGGGGTTTAGGTTTAGGATTTAGGGTTTAGGGTGGGCTGGGGTGCTTGAAGGTTAAGGTTTAGCGTTCGGGTTCAGGGCATGTGAAGGTAGAGCAACAGGGAGGGCCACTGTGGTTAAGACCTTTGTTTCGCACGAGAACCCAAAACCTAAACCCTAAGCCCCAACCCTAAACCCTAACTCCCCCAAACCCCAAACCCTGAGCCCAACATCCTCAAGCCCAAGCCCTATGTAAACCCTAAACCCCAAGCCCTAAACCCTAAATCCTCAACCCCCAACCGGGCCCCAGATCAGAACGTGAGGGCTCAGGGGCCATCTGGGCTTAGAGGGTGTGCTTCCACTTGGACCTTGAATTGATGCTTTAGGGTTCAGGGTTTTGTGTGGTGAGGGCTTGGGGTTTCGGGTTTAGGGTTTAGGGTTTAGGGTTTAGGGTTCAGGGTGCGCTTCTGGGTACATGTTTTGATGGTTACACCGCACTTAACCACGAAAGCAGGTAGCTTCAAAGAGGCAACGCGAACCAAGAGTCCTGGAAGGGTTCTCGATTTTCGTTGTCGACATCTCGACCTACAAAGAAACCCTAAACCCGAACCCCTACACCCCAACCCCTAAACCCTAAACCCAGAACCCTTCATTAAACAAGGAGTGGCCTTAGTTGTTGGGTATGATGCCCTTGTTCAAGGCGATGTACGTCACCCTATAAACACACCAAACCCTAAATTTGGGGGAGGGGCGGGGGGGGGGGGGGGGGGGGGGTTCCCAAAATGGGGGACCCTATTCTAGGATTTCAGTACAAGCACTCATTTCTATAATGTATTTAGGTACAAGTACTTTTGCATGTAGGTTGTCCTTGTTTATGCTCACGCGGGTGTTAGCGGCCCTGGGTAAAAAGCTAGTTTCGGCACTTCTTGATGACTTCTTGCGGTTTTCTTGTTGGGGGGAGGGGGGGGTGGGGGGGGATAAGAAGGTCATTCATATTGCGTCCATGCCCAAAACACTGGTATTTACAGCGTTTTCGCTTCTTTGTACAACATACTGCACAAGGATGTGGAACAAGAAAATCTGTCACAAGCGTCCATGCCTTTCGTGACCAAAACCGTGCTTTCCGTGCTCGACGTCTCTGCGCAACCCCAAAGCCCTAAACTTGAACCACTGCAAGCCCGTTGCACCCTGAACACTCCAGCCCCCAAAAACACGCGAAACGCTGAAAACACTGGCGGGCATGGCACTTTTCAACATAAGACCACATTGCAGTTACCCCCGTTCCACCCTGAACACTCACAAAACACAAAACCCGAAAACGAGCAGAAATCGCAAAAACATATCCCCAAAATAAACACTGTGAAATTCTGAAAGCACTGGCAGGCGTGGTACTTTTCAACAACACACCACCTTACAATCACTGCCCTGCGTGGGTTAAAACCACATTTCCTGGTGCAAACGGTCCAGGGCCGCTAACGCCCGTGTGACCCTGTTTATGTGGCTCTTCTGTCACGAACAATGATATACTTATTACGCAAAATATTTCACACAGATGACCTGGAACCCCACACCTTGAACCCTAAACCCCAAACCTCGAAGTTTTTTAGGGGCACCCACACTAGGGTCAGAAGTGGACTCTGCCGGGTAGGAGTGCTCAAGAAGCTGTGAGCTTGATGTGGTTTAATGTTTGGGTTTAGGGTTTAGGGTTTAGGGTTTAGGGTTTAGGGTTTAGGGTTTAGGGTTTAGGGTTTAGGGTTTAGGGTTTAGGGTTTAGGGTTTAGGGTTTAGGGTTTAGGGTTTAGGGTTTAGGGTTAGGGTTTAGGCAAACTGCAAGCTTGACGTGCGAGCAGGCAAAGCAGAGAGATCTTGGAGACAAGCGCTGCGCTGCACTGGCCCCGCAGCTTTTAGGGGTTGAGGGTTTGGGGTTTGGGGTTTGGGGTTTGGGTTTGGGGTTTAGGGTTTAGGGTTTAGGGTTTAGGGTTTAGGGTTTAGGGGTGACTGTGCTTCGTACCTTAGGTTGGGTGGTTGTTGGGCGTTTTGTGAGAGAAGGAGCACTTGTACTCTTCTATAACTCTAAACCCTAAACCCACTTGCTTTCCCTTATGTGGCCTTTCAAAAGAGAGCCCTTTGCAAAGCAGATTCCACCGAAAAGGGGTCCCCAACTCTGAGCAAGGCCGTCATATCCTAGTTTTACGGTATAGGGGTCTACCAAGTAGGACTCAGGGCTGCTACTGAATATAGGGATTATGGGCGCGTCTAAAGTGCCGATTCAGTAAATCCACGTAAAAGCCCGCAAAGAGGTTTTTCCTTAGCGATCCTTAGGGGCAGGGAGGGTCCCTGGGGCCCTTCATGTGCTCCCTTACCTCCGTTCAAGGGTTCTGAAGTATGGGCCCCTAGGTTTTATGGGGTAATTACATGAGTTGTTTTTTCAGGGCCCCCTTCTTCAGGGCCCATACTAAGGGATCATGTAACTACCCTAAGACTATAGGGCTCTAAAGGGGAGAGAGGTTCATGGGAGGTAGGTACCTAGAAAAAATCCTTAGGCAAGCTTAAGGAGCCTCCGAGTATGAGGGAACCTTGGGTTACATACCACCCTTGAACCCCCCTCCTTAAGAACCCTATAATAACAATTATAATTGCTGTAATAATACTTATATTATTAATACTTGTAATAGTAATAATATTAATCATAAGACCATCAGGATCACCTTTGCAAGCTGCTGCCCCTGCTGCGAAATCCGCCCCGGTGGATTGCGCTGGAAAATGCGCCCCGGCCACGCCAGGAAGGCGAATGTGATTTAAGCCCTAAACCTTCAACCCTATAGCCTCTAAACGGTAAACCCTAAACCTCAACCCCTAACCTCAAATCCTTAAACTCCTAAACCCTAAACCTCCTCAAATCCTTAAACCCTAAACCCTAACCCCTAAACCCCTTAAACCCTAAACCCCTTTTGGGACTCATGGTTGCAGGGCTTAGGGCTTAAACGTCCCAAATCCCTGGGCTTTGACCCACATCCCGAAGCTCATACTCGACTTAGTAAGTCTACTTGGTATCCCCCAAAAGCCCTCTTATACTCCCCAGAACCCAGCTTACTAAGAGGTTTAGGGGTTAGGGTTTAGGGTTTAGGTTTTAGGGTTTAGGGTTTAGGGTAGCCTACTTGCGAAGTCAAACGGGCTTCCACGTACCCACTTGAAGATGCTGGACCTGACAATGAAGGGTTCCAGGCTGCGAACCTTGGCCATCGGACTTGCAATGGGTTGAAACCCACATTCCTTATCACGACTAACCCTAAACCCCAGACCCGAAACCCAAACCCCAAACCCCAAACCCTAAACCCTAAACCCTATAAACCCTCAGCCCTATAAGCTTTAAACTTTAAAGCCCATCCCTTTGACCCGATGCCCAGAACCCATTGCGTCCTTAAGCTCAAGCACGGTCGAGACGCTGCTGCGACGTCTGTGTCGGGTTCGGGTTTTGGGATTCGGGTTTTGGGCAGCCGGTTTAGTTGGGTTGAGGGTTTCGGGTTAAGATGCTAGGGTTTATAGAGTTTAGGAGAAGATTCGAAAGCAAAAAAGCACGAAGAATCCGAACAAAAAGGGGCCGGCGACTACTGTTCAGCGTCAGCTACATATCCGTGAGAAAGGGAGGCATGCCTTATTGTGTGTGTGCTCACCCTGTAATTACACAGCCTACCCTAGGCAGGGCTTCTACTTCAGATTTGCCAGAATTTTCTGGCCTCCCCCCATCCCCTGCCCCCGGCGCCGCCCCTTGTCTCACTTGCAGCTCACTCTAAACCCTAAACCCTAAACCCTAAACCCTAAACCCTAAATGTAAACCCTAAACCCTAAACCCTATACCGCTTGAGCAGTCCGAGCCATAAAGCCCTGATGAACACAAAACCCCAAAGTCGCAGCATCGGGAGTAAAGGTTATGCCTGAAACATCCCATACCCATGTGCTACATAGCGAACACTCCCCCCCCCCCCCCTCCCAACCACCTTTCTTTTATCCTAGGTAATTTGCGTACCTACGAGTAAGGTGGCAGTGAGGGCGGCCTAGGAATCTTGTTGCCCATGTGTAAGACCCCTAAACCTTAAACCCTAAACCCTAAACCCTAAACCCTAAACCCCTAACCCTAAACCCTAAACCTTTTAAAGAGTCTCACATTGAAGCTTCCAGGTCAAAGGCTTCCATGGCAGTGAGGCATGCGCCAAGTGGCGCGCGGCGCTGGCGCAGGCGACGCGGGCAATGGATGGAGCCCCCTCCCCCCTCCAACTCTCCTGGGTGGAGGTTTAGGGTTTAGGGTTTAGAGTTTTAGGGTTCAGGGTTTAGGGTTCAAGGTTGAGGCTTAGGAGTTGGGATGCTCCCCCTTATACTAACAGTCCTGAATAGGGAGTTTTGTACCCCCATTATATTCCCTATTAAGGAGTTATAGGGGTTTTTGTACTCCCTATTATAATCCCTAGTAAGGACTGTTAGTCTAAGGGGGAGCATTCCCAAGTTGCGGGTGTTTGGGGTACTAAGGTTTTGGAGGTTTAGGGTTTAGGGTTTAGGGTTTAGGGTTTAGGGTTTAGGGTTTAGGGTTTAGGGTTTAGGGTTTAGGGTGGAAGCTCCAGTGTGTTGTTGAGGGAAGCCCCAGAGCCAGAACTCCAATGGTTCGGTGGGGTTTAGGGTTTAGGGTTTAGGGTTTAGGGTTTAGGGTTTAGGGTTTGGGGTTTGGGGTTTGGGGTTTAGGGTGTCTGTACTGTGAGATCCTGATGGATTCCTTGGCACGACAGGCCCGGTTGCTGAAGGGCAAGTGTTTCTGAGCATTTCTCAAACTGGTCCCTTTGTGGGCATCCTAAATAAGAGGGGCCGCCTTGTAGTAAGGACCCCAAAAGGGACCATTTTTTAGAGAAAGTGATCATCTAGTTGGCAGACAGGTAAACTTTGCGAGCTTCTCCGGTCTGTGCCAGTCTATGATGCGCCACTGCAGCATGTGCACTATTTGTTTTGGAAGAGAACATGTCCTCCTGAGCATCCCAGAGCATGATGGCTCACAACGTTGCACAGTTTCATCTTCTGTTGCCTGTGTGATACGCTCGCGGTCGAAGCATGGGCTGCAGTTCTCCGCAGGATTTTTCCGGCTCAGTTGCCCACAGAGCAGTGCACGCCCATAGGCTTCAAGCTAGCCGAAGATGCTCCGCCGTCCACTCATGAGCCTGGCCTTCCTCGGGCTCACCTGCGTCATATTCTGTTGGCCCACATGCCCATGGGCTAACGTTCGCGACCACATCATTCTCGAAGCCTGCCATGCGGGCATTAAAGCATGTGAGTGGCAACTCCAGCTGACCGGCCAGCTAGGCGCTGCTCTTTCAAGAAGCACATCGCAGGAGCAAAGTTTCATTCAAGACGTATGGGATACCCCAAATTGGGAGTGGGACATGGAGGACTGCGCCCGTCTCTCGATGCTCCAGGGGGGTCGCATCCTTCAGCGATAGAGACGAACTGCAAGGCAGCAGCAGAGACCGGAACACAAGCAGAAACGATCTTCCTCTCGCTTATCATTTTCCATCGGCGAGATCTTGCTGCTTGTGTTTTGAAATTAGTACCCAAACTACAAACAAAGCCCCCTGACAGTAGTTGAAATTCAATCAACAGCGCTTATGGACACAAGGCTCCATGACAGCGCCTCTTAGTGATGGTGGCTCGCGGCATCATCCTTGAAGCTAGCGTGATTGAAAGAGGAGACCTGAGTAGCATGTCGCCTGAACTAGCAGAGGGCCATTTGTTGTGTTGAACCTTACCACCCCAAGCCCTAAACACTAAACCCTAAACCCTAAACCCTAAACCCTAAACCCTAAACCCTAAACCCTAAACCCACCGATTTTGAAAATTGTTGCCAGAGCAAGGGCACTCTCGCGAGCCTCATTGGCTCGGATAGTGCAGGCTGCATGGTCCTGAGGGTGGTTAGAAGTCATGGTTGAGGTGGCTTTCTTGTACTGGGAGGATCGGGTCACTTAGTAAGCGGGGATAGAAGTACCTTAATTGGGGGTTATAAGTACTTATAAGTACAGCTACTTTAACCATAACCCCACTTACTAAGTCCCCTGATCTTTCAAGTAGGGATGGGGGGTTTGGGTTTGGGTCGTAGGATGGCCTAGCATGGTCAGCGGCCTTGGTGTGCTTATGTTGGGTATCGGTTTAGGGTTTAGGGTTCAGGGTTTAGGGTTTAGGGTTCAGGGTTTAGGGTTCAGGGTTCAGGGTTCAGGGTTCAGGGTTCAGGGTGATGGGTCTTACCATGGCTCAGGCCATGGGTTTCCGTTGTTCTTCTTGGTCAAACTAATCTCTAGGCAAGACATTTGGGGCATGAGGGTGGACAATTTAGATGCCCGCGGAGCTGGTGTTTAGGGGTTTGCGTTTAGGCGCTACTCACTGCAACATAACAAGCCGAAACTAATTGCTTGGGTTGCTCTATGTTTAGATAGTACGCCCTCAGCACGGGTGCCCTAAACTCTAAACCCTGATGTCGCACACAGGCGGGCTTCTCTGACCGCGAGATCGTCTTGGATTTGAGCAGCGCCCTGGAGACATTGGCCCTCACCTGCATCGCCGGATATCTCACTGAAGCCTCTATACGACCCCGCCCTAACTAGTTTGGGGTTTAGGGTTTAGGGTTTAGGGCTTAGGGTTTAGGGCTACTAGAGTTTAGGGCTGACCAAACCGCGGACTCCTGATGTAGCAGGTTTTTTCGGGTTCTGGGGGGACCCTGAACCCCGCCGAGCCTAAAGCTGCAGCTGGTGTTTATCTCTATATCCCCTTTGGGAATTGTTTTTTCTGTTTATATAAACCCAAGAGGATACCAAAAATAGTATTTTCATTAAGGTTCTAAGGGGAGTATGGTATCTGGGCGTCGTGGTCTCTTGGGGGGTGGCGGGCTTGGGCTGGCGGATTGCTGGTACTTGAAGGCTCATGAGCAGTGACAAGTAGGGTTGAGGGTTGACTGTAGTTATTTCAGGCCTAGCGGCACGGGCCGGCCCCCGCCCCCCACAGCACGAAACCTTGAACCTTGGCACTGTCTTCTCTTTCCCGTGTCTTTGTCCTCTCCTTCTCTCTGTCTCTCTTTCTCCTGCCTTCGCCCCCCCTCCCTCCACCCCCCCGCCGCGCGCGCGCGCGCGCACCCGCATCAGGAGCATCAGTGGGGTTGGTTTGGGGGCCTTAAAAGCATTCTATGCATGCGTTTTGCCTTCGAAAAACCTTCAGAAAACGCTGTAAACACGTGTTTTTGGGCCTGGGAAGCCTTTTGGAACCCAGGAAAGGGAGCATCATGAGCATCAGCGGCCTCCCCCAGGCCATCCAAAACCCCCTTAAACACGCCGATTGTATGTGCTTGAACCCTTGCGTGCCCACGAAACCCCCAAAAGCAAGACCCCGAATGCCCTTAAGGGCATTTGGGGTCCTGCTGTTCGGGTGTTTTGTAGGCGCGAAGCCGTTCGAGCGCGTAAAATGAGCGATTTTAGGGGCGTTTTTACGTGGACCCACAAAACACTCGGTATTTACGAGGTTTTCTGCTGTTGGAACCCCCCCCCAAACCGAGCATCATGAGCATCAGCTGGGTCTCTGGGCCGTCGGCCCGGACCCCCCCACGAAGCCCATGAGAAGCGATGGCTCGATGATGCGCCCGGACCCCACGCATCAGCAGCATCAGCAGACCCCCCCCCGGACGTGGGTTTCGATGATGCGCACTTTGGGGGCGGGTCAAGGGCAACAGGGGTGGGGGTCGGAGGCACGCGTGAAAAACCTCATAAAAACACGGTATTTACGGTGATTTCAGCGTTTTTCAGCGTTTTTTGCTGCCTTGGGGCCGCGGGCCAGGGCTGCTGATGCTCATGATGCTCGCCTGGTTTTGGGCTTCCGGTACCCCCCCCAAACCTTGAAAAACGTGGTTTCGGCCTGGCGCGCGCCCCATGTGAAAAGCTAGGGTCGATGATGCGCGCCTGTGAGGGTTTAATGGGGTGCTGCGGGTGTTTTGTGGCCTCGGTTTTTCGTAAAAAACCATGGTTTTTACGTGGTTTTCGTGCTTTTCGCACCACCGTGTGTTGCGTCCCCTTGGATGCCGTTTTGGAGGCCTCCCGAACGGCCCCGCGCGAATTTGAAGCAATGTTGGGCGGGGTCGGCGCCTCGGGCGCTCGCCCCTTAAAGCTAGCGCTTTACACAGTGGGCCCTTTGAGATAGTTGAGAAAGAAAGAGATAGGGGAGATAAAAAAAGATAAAACGGAGATAGGCTAAGTCCATTTTAAGGTTTTATATCTTTTTTTGTTTTTTTCTATCTTTTTTTATTTTCTTTTATTTTTTGCTATCTGTTTTTGAAGCAAAATGGCGAGAATTCCACACTAGCTCAGATGTAGATTCTTTGTAGAAAAATCACCCACGTCCAGCTGGAAAGGCCTCTACTCGTTTCACGTTTGGGCTGCTGGCACAGGAGAAGGGAGACAGGAAGCCCTATGTGGCTTTGTGAGTTTTTTGGGGGCCCAGGTTTAAGCAGGGCACACGGGTTGCACACCCGCCAAACATGCCCCGAAACATACCCCCGATACATGCCCCGTAACATACGCCCGAAATTGAAGGTAAAGTAGCTCATGATGCCACGAGACATACCCGAAGCATACCCCCGAAACATACCCCGATACCCCAAAACATACCCGCGAAACATACCCTGATCCCAACAACTGTCGCCCGCCATTATATGGGTTTGTTCGATAAGGGTGGGGGGGGGGGGCGGGTTGAGGGAGGGCCTGTGAGTGGAGGAAAGACTTGCCGCAAGCTGTCCTCGAAGTGGGCGCTGGCTGTGGCCATGCTGAGAGCAAAGACGGTGGAAGTCCGTGAGGCGCGGGCAAGCAAAGATGGCTTCGGCTTGAGCTGCAGGCTACGACATGCATTTTTGAGGCTACGGAGCCCGTAGTGTGAGGGAGGCCAGCCCGCTACCTGCACTATTTGTGGGACATCTCAGGGCGGTAGTGTGCGGTAGTGTGCAGTAGTGCCTGGGCTTGGGCTGCAGGGCTTAAGGGTGGTAGTGCTTGAGGCCCTCTGCGAAGCTAGTGGCCGGCAGTGTGCGGTAGTGCCTGCCTGGGGCCTGACTGGGGGAGCCTCAGCAAGGGACCTTTCCGGATTGGCTTGTGGGGCCGGAAGGGGAGCTGAGCAAGGGGTCTTGCCGGACTTGCTTCTGGCGCGGAAGGGGGGCCTAAGCAAGGGATCTTTCCGGACTTGCTTCTGGGCCCAAGCAAGGGATCTTGCCGGACTTGCTTCTGGGGCCGGAGTGGGGGCCCATAAGCAAGGGATCTTTCCGGACTTGCTTTTGGGGCCGAAGGACGAGCCTAAGCAAGGGATCTTTCCGGGCTTGCTTTTGGGGCCGGAGGGGGCCGAAGCAACGGATCTACTTTCCGGACTTGCTTCTGGGCCCGGAGGGGGGGCCTAAGCAAGGGATCTTGCCGGACTTGCTTCTGGCGCCGAAGGCGGTCCTAAGCAAGGGATCTTTCCAGACTTGCTTCTGGGCGAAGAGGGGGAGCCTAAGCAAGGGATCTTGCCGGACTTGCTTCTGGGGCCGGGGGGCGGGCCTGAGCAAGGGCTCTTTCCGGACTTGCTTCTGGGGCAGAAGGGTGGGCCTAAGCAAGGGATCTTTCCGGGTTTGCTTCATGTTAGCTGTATACACCGTACATTCTTTGATGCCCTAAACTAAACATGCAATATGACCATTTTATCCCAAAATCGACTCAAACTATCTTTTTTTATCTTTTTTTTTTATTTTTTTTGTCTTTTTTTATCTTTTTTTATCTCCCGGCGACCGGTGCCGCTTTGCCGCACTTTGCCGCACCTATCTTTTCTAAGTCTGTTCTATCTCGTTTTTCTTTCCCTATCATTCCATGAAGATGGTATCTCAAGATAAAGATAGAAACGACTTAGACCCTCCCTAAGTGACTTGTAACTCACTTAAAACCAACTCCCTATCTCAACTATCTCACCTATCTCCAAAGGGCCCACTGTGTAGTGCGACGCGGGCTCCGCCCTTGGACCACGGGCGGCGCGGGGGCCGGATTTAATGGCTACCGCCAGTGCCGCCGACCCCCTCCAAGGGGGGCCAAGGCACTGTGGGCTCCGGCCGCGGATTATGTATATATATATATATATAGATATATGCGCAGGCTTGGTCAGGTTGTAGAGTTCAGGGGGGCGAAACATGGAGCCCTGATGCGCAGGGAGTTGGGGCTAAACCCCAAATCTAAAACCGCAAACCGCACATGGCGGGGTGCGTGGGGGGCTTGGGCAAGGGAGGGAGTATGCGGAGCGGGAAGGGAAGAGGTGGTGGGGGTAGGGGCGGAGAAGCCACCTGCTTGGGCCGTGGACCAGAAGGAATGGGGAGCTATGGGGCCAGGAGCCATGGGTCCATGAGGGGCATGGGTGCGTGAGGGGTACGGTCCATGAGGGGTAGGTCAAGGGGGTGGAGAGTGGGAGCATGGGCCAGAGGGAGTAGGCGGAGCTGGAAGGGCGGAGGGCGGAGCGGGCATGCACATCCATGGGCCGTGGACCATGTGGGGGTTGGGGGTTGGGGGTGGCAGGGTGCGTACGGTATGGGGGTGGGGGTTGGGGGTTGGGGTGGAGCAGGGGCCAAAAGGAAAGGAATTGGAAGCAATGCAGGTGGAGGGATGAAGAATGGGACCAGGAGACAGTGGGGCCAGGAGCCATGGGTCCAGTGGGGGGGTGGGGGTGGGGGTTGGAAGTGTGGAAAGGGTGGGTGTGTGGGGGTGGGGGTTGGGGGTGGGGGTGGAGCCATGACGCCAGGAGCAAGGGGCCCATGACAAGCACGGGCGGCGGGGCAGGGTGCGTGCGGGGTGGGGGTGGGGGTTGTGGGTGGGAGTGGAGGAGGTCAAGGGATGAAGAATGGGACCAGGAGCCAGAAGTCCATGAAAAGCATGGCGGGGTGCGTGGGGGGCTTGGGCAAGGGGAAAGTATGCGGAGCGGGATGGGCGGGGAGCGGGTGCGGGTGGTGGGGGTAGGGGCGGAGGGGAGCCATGGGCCAGGAGCCATGGGTCCATGAGGGGCAAGGCGGCGGGGCAGGGTGGAGACGGGAATGCACTGAGGTACAGGGGGTGGGGTGTGTGGGGGTGGGGGGTGGGGGTGGGGGTGGGGGTGGTGGGGGGTGGGGGGGGGGGGTGGAGCCATGGGGCCAGGAGCCATGGGTCCATGACAAGCATGCGCGGCGGGGCAGGGTGCGTGCGGGGTGGGGGACCAGGAGCCATGGGTCCATGAGAAGTATGGCGGGGTGTGTGGGGGGCTTGGGCAAGGGGGGGAGTATGCGGAGCGGGAAGGGCGGATGGACGGGGGGGTGTGTGGGTGGTGGGGGTAGGGCAAGCGGGCGGGCATGCGCTGGGGGCCGGTTGAGCTTGATGAAGAATGGGACCAGGAGCCATGGGTCCATGAGAAGCATGGCGGGGTGTGTGGCGGGCTTGGGCAAGGGAAGGAGTATGCGGTGCGGGAAGGGCGGATGGGCGGGGGGCGGGTGGGGGTAGGGCAAGCGGGCGGGCATGCACTGGGAGGAGCCATGGGTCCATGAGAAGCATGGCGGGGTGCGTGGGGGGCTTGGGCAAGGGAAGGAGCGGGGGGCGGGGTGCGTGGGTGGGGCAAGCGGGCGGGCATGCAGGCCGGTCGAGCTTTGGATGGGGTGGAGTAGGTGGTAGGGGCAATGGGTCTTCACTGACGCCGCCCCCCTAGAAATGGGCGGATAAGTAGGGGGGGTTTTGTACAACTGAATCCGGGTTGTACCCAGAGCTATCCTACTGTTTAGAGCCCTGCACCCGTGGCTGCCTATAAACTTTCAAGAACCCGAGTGTTTAGGGTTTAGGGTTTCGGGTTCAGGGTTTAGGGTTTAGGGTTAGGGGCGCCGTCGTTAAGGCCTCGCCCTCATTCCCTGCTGCAGGTTTCGGAACTCCAAACCACCGCACCCGGCTGCTTCGAAGCAAGAATCCTTCCACCTCTCAGTAGCTGAACGAATACACTTTACGCGCTTTGGGATACTATAACCCCTATAGAACTGAAATTTGGGGGCTTTGAACTCAGCAACTAAGACCAAGCCCTTCGGGTGCGTGGGCAAAATATCGGCCTAATTACTTCGAGTTGGGGTGTTTAGGGTCTATGGTAGTTTAGGCCGTCGAGACTGGGGTGCAGGCGCGGCTTTGATTTGCATGTGTGGCCCAGTGTTTAGGATTTACCTAAATGATTGGTACACTTCCCGCTGTTATTTTTGTAGTACGATTGCTATTACGATCACTATTAGTACTATTACTATTGTTATTGTCATTATCATTATTATTATTTATCCTCAAGCCCTAAAACCTAAACCCTAAACCCTAAACCACTTCTGCTATCGCCTTGGACTGGGACCATTTTCACGATCAGCATCGGCCTTCGTCCTCGACGCTGAGGTTTGGAGTTTAGGGTTTAGGGTTTAGGGTTTAGGGTTGTGCTTCGGGAGAGTTGTTAATTTCCCTTCTTTCCTTGCAAGGGGGCCTGTTCATAAGATTTAAAGCACAACTTAGGAAGGTTTCAGGGTCTAGGGAGTTTAGGGTTCTCGGACTGTAAGGTTTAAGGGTTTATTTTTTATTTAGGATTTAGGGTTTCGTGTTGGGATTTTCCCTTATTCTAACAGTCCTTAAAGGGGAATATATTCGGGAGTACTATACTCGCTATTATGGACTGGTAGTTATAAGGGGGAACATCCCAAGTTTCGGGCTTAGGCCCTAAACCCCAAACCCTAAACCCTAAACCCTAAACCCTAAAGGCCCTAAACCCTAAACACCCCAGGTACTACCTCCTGGCCGAAAGGGGGAGCAGGAACCTTCAGCAATCAGCCGCAGCTCGGCCTGCCAACGTTTGGGGTTTAGGGTAGGGTTTAGGGTTTAGGTTTAGGGTTTAGGGTTTAGGGTTTAGGGTTTGAGGGTTTCGGAACCAGGCCCAGAGGGGCGCGTGCATAGTATTTATTTGCGGAAGTTTGTACCAAAAACCTGCCTAAGGGTCCATGTAGCTCATTGTCATATACTTCCACCCCAAAGCCCCTTTCTAGGTCCCAGGTCTTCCCTATCTAGCTAGATGGACCCTTAGGGCCTTACAAAGAACCCTAAACCCTAAACCTCAAACCCTAAACCCGAAACCCGAAACCCTAAAGCATGGCCCACCCAGGCCGCGGTTCCGCGGCTGCAAGAGGCAATGCCGCCAGGTGCGCTGGCACGAGGCCGTTTAGGGCTTCGAGTTCAGGGTTTGTAGGGTTTAGGGTTTAGGGTTTCGAGGTGTTCTTGCTGAATAGAAAACTTGATACCCTAGACTTAGAGTCATAAAGCCTATAGTTTTTCACAGCGGTAAATCTTATAAATGCCAAAGCCCTGTAGAGGGCTCTGCGAGATTTAATCCCTTCCCCCTAATATTAAACGCCCCCCCCCCCCCCCCCCCCCGCTAGAAATTCGAAATGTGTCTTTAGTATTAGGGGATGTTTTTATCCAAATGTCATGTTTGGGGTCCAAAGGGTTTAGGATGTTGGCTTCAGGCTTTGGACGGGACTGGGAGTGAAGGGAGGGAAGGGAGCTAGATCGGGGGGGGTTAATAAACGGGGGAAGGGATTACTTTAACGACAAGTGAAGGTTGATTTCGGATTCGGAGCGAGAGAGAGAGAGAGATCCAGTGGAATCTGAAACTCTGAAACCCTGAAACCCTAATCCCTAGACCCTGAACCCTGAACCCTATATATTGGGCCTTGACTGAATGTCGTTTAGGGGTGAGGGTTCAACTACTCCTCTTTTGCTCGAAGGCGGAGCAGCGTGAGACAATTCGCACAGTTATGCTCAGCCCTAAACCCTAAACCCTAAAACCTTAAACCCTAAACCCTAAACCCTAAAAGCACTTGGATCACGGCCAACCTGGCCTATGTAAAAGAGATGCGGATGGAGAACCGCCTGACAGCCACTCTGGGCTTGGTGTGGGTTTGGGGTTTGGGGTTTGGGGTTTGGGGTGTGGGGTGTAGTAAGGGTGTAGGGTGTAGGGTTTAGTTAGGGGTTAGGGCTTAGGGTTTTAAATCAAACTCCCCAATGACTAAGCCGCATACCCCAAACCACAAAAACTAAACCCAAACCCGAAGCCGATCAAACCCAATCACTCCCCCAACCCCCAAACCCTAAATAAGCTTCAGGGTTTAGGGTTTAGGGTTATAGGGTTATAGGGTTATAGGGTCATAGGGTTATAGGGTCATAGGGTTATTATAGGTTTATAGGGTTATAGGGTTATAGGGTTTAGGGTTTAGGGTTTAGGGTTTAGGAATCAGGGTTACCTCAGTGGCAGGCCCCTGGGCACGGGACCGGCGCGCTGCGTTAGCCGCTGTGGCCGCACTCGGCATGTGTCGTGGGTTTAGGGTTGCCAGGTTTAGGGTTTAGTTTCAAGGGCTTTAGGCAGTCATTGGGTTATGGGGTGTATGGCAATTACTCAAACATTTTTCCTGGGCGATCTAGATGTTCGATAGAAGCGTCGGAAGGGGTTCGGAAAGATCGTTCTACCTTGTTCACATGTACGGTTATCTCTTTCTGTCCGAGTGCTTCAAAAATGACACCATCAAGCTCGGCGGCAGTCACAATCAACAAGCTTTCTGTAAGGAGGCGGCGCACGCTGCGGCGCGAAAGACGCCCAGGCGGGAGGACAAAGAGGCGGGGAGGGGGTTCTAGGGGTCCTGGCAGTGTGAACCCTTATCCTTTAGAACCCTTACAACACCTTATAAGAATCAACCCTTGAAGCCCTTAAACCCTTATAACACCTTACAAGAATCAACCCTTGAAGCCCTTAAACCCTATAAACCCTTACAAGGGGTGCAGGGGTTAGGGTCCTAGAGGACTTGTGGGCTGAGGAGGCATTGAGTTTGGGGGCTCGTGGGCTTTGTTCAAGGTTCAAAGACCCCGTCCAGCCCTTACGGGGTTTAGGGTTTAGGGTTTAGGGTGTTTAGAAGCCATTTTTGGCTGAACGAAGAGTTTTACATGCAGAAGCCAAGCCTACAGCCTATGCCTACCCCCTAGGTGGTAGGCCCACAAGAGGCCTACGGGTGGGCTGCCTAGAGGCCGTTGTTTAAGTATCAGTCTGAGCGGCTCTTAATAAGCTAGACCCCCCCGGGCCCCCAAGTTTTCCTTACTTAGACCCCAAAAGCTGGTACTAAACCCTCGATGTCCCCCCAGGAAGCGGCATAAGGGTTTCGGGCAAAGATATTTTGAAATTTCGGTTTCATGAGAGGTGAAGCTAGATCCCCATTCATTGCTTCAGCGTACACCCCAATTGGAACCACACCTTACATCTTAAACCCGGAACAGCTATTCTGATTCTTCAAGAGATTTAGGGTTCTGCCCCCCCGAAGCCCCCTAGCAAAGGGGCTCTCTTGCCTTTATTCAATCATATAGTGATCCTCAAGATGATTTAAAGTATATTCCTTAAATTATGTAGGGATCGTGAATATGGTTGCCCATATGGTTGGAGGTATATTCCTTAGTTTCAGGGGTATTTCGCTCTTTGGCCCTATGAGCCTTTTCTGGGAGGCGCTGGAATCCAAACACGGCTTCATGGGGGGAGCAGAGGCCTCGCCTTGAGGGTCAGCTGAGCCGAGCTTGGGGCCCCTTATAAGGGGGAAACCGTGAGGCTGAATTTATAGGAGAGACCCTGAACCCTTAACCCCCTAAACCCAAAACCCTAAACCCTAAACCCCCTAAACCCCCTAAACCCCCTAAACCCCCCCTACACTTATAAACCCTAAACCCACGGCTTGCGGAGGCAATTTTCGGCGCTGCCCGCCGAGCTTTTGTCCAGGCGCTGGCGCTTTTGCCGCCCGGTGTGAGATCTCCGGGGTTTAGGTTTGGGGGCCTCAGGGGGCTACGAAGGGTTTAGGGTTTAGGGTTTAGGGTTTAGGGGTTAGGGGTTTAGGGTTTAGGGTTCAGGGTGTGGTGTCAGGGTTTGTAATATTACATAGGGTTTAGGATTCAGGGACACCTCAAACCTCAGCATGTTAGGAGCCTCGACTTGGCATGGCTTCTTGGTGGGAAAGGGGGGAGAGAGGGATGGCGACGATGGTGACAACTGCTTCTTGTGGCAACTGCTACTCCAGGTTGACCCTGAAACCCCCAGACCCCTACCCCCCCTAAACCCGCAAAGAAAACCCAACCCTAAAACCCTAAACCCGCAGAAGCCCTTAAAGCCGAAACGCACTAAACCTAAACCCCGGAAATCCCAAACCGCTAAGTCCCGAAACCCTTTCCACTCCCAGGTCCACGCCCGACGTGGGCCGGGATGTTTCGAGCCTGACCTTGGCAGGACAGTGTTTAGAGGGTTTAGTTTTTTTTTGTTTTAAGTTTTCTTTGTTTTAACTTATGTTTGTGTTCATTGCTTTTTTATGGGGCTTCAACAGGATTTAGAGGGTTCATGGGGTTCATGGAGTTGATGGGGTTTGTAGGGTTTAGGTTGATGATAGCCGCAGCCAGACAGTTTGGCCCTTGTCCTAGCAAGCCTTGCCTACCGCTGGCCGACATGGGTACGTTTCCAAGTCGTTGCTCTCTTCAGGCATTTTTTGCGGGTACATAAACTATACATACGCTCCGCAGTTTTTAATCGGAACCCCCCCCCCCCACCCCAAAACAATAGAAGTTTAGTATAGAGCTGTCCACATCCCAACCGCGATTTGTTTTAAGCCCTACGTGCACTGTACATTTTTCCCTACACCCTATGCATCCTGCAATCCCTGCCTTAGCGACCAGCACTAGCTGAACAAACCCTGGGCAAACATCTTCGAATAGAGTCCGGGGCGGCACCCACGCGGTGCAAATCCCGGGGCTGGTGGAGGCCCTGCGGGAGGTGGCGGCATCCCTGCAAGGGGTGGCGGCGTTGCTGCAGCAGACGCTGCAGAAGATGCCGCGCCAGCAACTGCGCGGCCCGGACGGGAAGTTCATGGCGAACCCCGTCACGCCATTGAGCCTGCCGCCCACACCGGGTGCACCCAGCACACCGGGCGGCGGCGGAGGAGGAACAGGCCGTGGGAGGAGGAAACGGTGCGGGCAGTGCCAGGGGTGCCGGCAGGCCGGCGAGATTCAGTGCAATGCCGGGCTTCCCTTGCCGAGGATGCAATGCTGAAACATTCCGACAGCTGCCCAATAACTGTACCTGTGTGAGGGTTGCAGGTCCAGCTAACGAGGCCGATATAAGAAGGCAGCAGCGCAACGGTTCGTGCCAAGAGCAAGCCCCTAAACTCTAACCCAGGGGGGTACAGGGCTTTGGGTGCTTCGGTGCTTCGGGGTCTGGGATGCTCAAGGATTATCTCTCTTTTCTTCTGGGTTTTGCTGGGCTCAGGGGCTTAGTAGCATGCAGAGGTTTTCGGGCTACAGGGATGTGAGGGTTTAGGATTTTGGGCACAGAGCGCGCAGGATGTGGAAGCGTAGGGGAGAAACCCGGCGAGTCCCCTTCATGAAGGAATGTGCCTCAATTCAGATATTGGTTTAGGGTTCTTTGGAACTGAAGCTGTATTCCCTTATGCCTAATGAAAAGCCCGTTATCATACCCTCAAGACCATGTCTGACATGTGGGGGTGTGAAGCTTTACTTGCAACTCTCTGCACACCTACAGAAAGTAGAAATTTCCTGAACAGAGGTACGTATGGAGGGTGTAAGGTTTAGGGTTTAGGGAATATAGGGTGTAGGGTGTAGGGTGGTCGCTTGAGGGTAGCTTCTCAATGAATGCAATACGGGCCCTAGTATTTTGACACCCGTCCGAAAGCCCAAACAATATTCAGAGAAACCCTATGGCCGCCCTACGTAAGCCCAAAACCCCCGCCAATAATTTCGATAAGGCCGAAACCATGAACCCTGAACCATACACATCGTAAACCCTAAACCTTAAACCCTAAACCCATAACCCCATAAAAACTAATCCCTAAACCGCAAGGGTTGGACCTAAGCCTGCAAGAGAGAGGAACGGAGTCCTGGAAGCTCCTCCCACTGCCCAAGGACGACCCAGAGGCAAGAAGGGACTTAGGGTTGAGGGTAAGCCCATAACGCTGAATCTAGGGTTTAGGGTTCACAATCCCTAATTAAACCCTACACCCGAAGCCCGAAACCCGACAAGCCTTAAACTGCCCGCTGTAAAATCCCCAGGGAGGGTTTACGGTCCTAACTTGTTGGGAAACTCAGAGCCTGTAGTGCTTGCTTCACTTGTTTCCTTTCTGTCTTTTCAGGGTTTTCTATGTCCTAAACCCTAAGACCCTGAACCCTAACCCTAACCCCTAGGAAGCTCCCACAGGCGCTTCTGGTGGTGTTTGACATCGACGGCTCCGACAACACCGTTGCAACGCAGTTTCTGGAGGACTTGGCAAACCCCCCTATTTTCGGGACATTTCAGGGCTTGCAGGGCGTTGCAGTGGTTAGAGGTTTAGCGGCTCGAAGAGCCAATAGATTCGAGTTTAGTGTGTGTGTTTTTTTTTGGGGGGGGGAGAGAGTGGGCGGTAGTCGTTTCGTGTTGGGGCGGGGTCGCGGGGGGGGGGGGGGGGGGGGGGGGGGGGGGGGGGGGGGGGGGGGGGGGGGGGGGGGCGGGGGGGGGGGGGGTGCCGGTTGGGGGAGGTCGGGGGGGGGGATGGGGGTTGGGCGCGGGTGGTGGAGTGGGGGGGGGGGGGGGGGGGGGGGGTGGGAGGGTTGGATTACAGTGTGCTGAGTGCCGAAGATGTACAGGCTTGAACTTGATATTTAAGCCACTAAAGTCTGACATGTGCTTTTGGTTCAAGTGCGGGAGTTCGTTGAAACGAAAAAGAAATCATGTGATGTCGGCTGCACAGCCATGTTATCTGCAGGAAGTAGGTTCGTGCAGGCGGCAGGCTACACGAGCCACATATATATATATATATATGTGTATATATATATATAGTTCCGTTTTCGGGCTCTGTAAAATTGCGCAGCCTGCTTTGCTGCTAGAATGACTAGCGTCGCCCGTCCTTCCTGCGGTCTTCAAGGGCCCTTACATCCCTCCCGGTTACGGCACCCTAAACCCTAAACCCTAAACCCTAAACCCTAAACCCTAAACCTGAAACGCCCCTGGTTCTAAGGGTAGTTTCATGGGCCCTCAATGTGGTCCCTTACCTCCTTAGAGGGTTCTGAAGTATGGGCCCTCGGGGTGTCTAGGGTATATAAGGGGTATATGAGGGGTCCCCATTTAAGGGTCCATACTAACCCTTCACCCTAACCCCTAACCCCTAAACCCTAAACCCTAAACCCTAAATGACCATGTAACTACCCTTTGAGGGCCAATACTGAAGAACCCTACGACTGGTTTCCATGTGAAAGGAGCTGCCAACGTTGGATTCCAGAAGCTTGGAAAGCACGCGGAATCATAAGAATGCCACACCCTACTTTCTGGTTAGGGTGTAGGGTTTAGGGTTTAGGGTTTAGGGTTTAGGGTTTAGGGTTTAGGGTTTAGGGTATACGGTTGCTTCTCAGATTCCCGTGTTTGGGTTCCCCAACTATAATGGACGGTAATCCGAAAAAGGGAACACAGTTTACAGAACTGACCTGGTACATTCTTCCGTTTTGGCGGTCAAGCTTGATCCTGAACAACCTAATCTCCTAAACCCTAAACAGCCTGAGCCGTACAAGCCCTAAACAACTACTATTCGCTCAAGAACCCCAAAAGAAAAAAGACAACAATCAGCAATCCCTCTATTACCCTTATAATAATGAACAATAGTATATATATATATATATTTATTTATATTTATTTATATGTATATACATATGTATATATATATATATACATATTTCTGTATTCATTTTCACCCCCACCTTCGGTGTGGGGTTGTTAGATTTTAAACACAACTCTTCTCCTCGCCCGGAACTCTTCTCCTAGATAGAGACTCCCTGAAATGCCCAACCCCAGAGACTCGCTAGAGTGCCCAACCCCAGAGACTCCCTGGAGTGCCCAACCCCAGAGACCCTGGAGTGCCCAAGGGGGGCAGGACGGCCAAAAATCTCAAATCCCGGATGTTCGAATATTTGTTTTTGGAGGGGGGTTCTTAAGCAGCTAGTAAGCAAGGCCAAGTGTCTTGGTCCTGCTGGCCGCCCCCAGACCGCGAGCATGCCGCGTGGAAACTCGGACTGCAGCCAGTGGTCAGTCGAACACGGTCACCCTCAGAGTCGAACATGATCTCTCAAGTCCTAAATGTCCTACATTTCTAAGTAAGCCCTCAGAATTCCTCAGAGTCTAAGATGATTCTGGGACCCTAAAAACCCCTACATGGTGAATTATGCTCCCTTTTGGTGTCACTATTATAAGGCGGCCCCACGTATTTAGGGTACCCCAGAAGGGGCCATAAATCTTGAGAACTGACCAAATCCTACACCCTTCAACTAGAATTCCTCAGAGTCAGCGTGGGAGACTTCCTCGAGAGCCCTAAACCCCAAACCCTAAACCCTAAACCCCTAAACCCCTTAACCCCTTAACCCCTTAACCCCTTAACCCCTTAACCCCTTAAACCCTAAAGCCTAAACCCTAAACCGCGGAAAGCAGGGCCGCGCGGCGCGTTGGAGACTTCCTCGAGACCCCCGACTCTGGGGAGCTCGCTGAGCACCTGGGTCGTGAAGCTTCAGGTTTAGGGCTTAGGGATTAGGATCTAGGGTCTAGGGTTGTGAAGGGTCCGAGTTTGTAGAGTGTGTGGGGCTTAGGGTTTAGGGTTTGGGGTTTGGGGTTTAGGGTTTAGGGTTTGGGGTTCAGGGTCTCGGGTTTGGGGTTTAGGGTTTGGGCTTTGGGTTTAGGGTTTAGGGTTTGGGGTTCACACTGCCAAGATGCCGGCTCCGAGATCGCGAGCTATCTTTTTTTATGGTTTAGATTCCCTTAGAAGACCCCTTAAACCAAAAAGGGCACCCTTTTTGATTGCTACTCCTGGGTTTAGAAGATGTTTGTGGTGCTTTGCGTGAAAGGCATGGCTTAGGTTTTTGGCTTCGTGTTCAGGAACTTGAATTATAAGCTACCACAATATATAGAACCAGTATAGGAAATCATACTTATATGGCAAGCCTCAATACCACCTGACCAGTCTGAGAAGCACACGCCCTCTTTGTCTTACGCCTAAGTTCTCGACAACACACATCGAAGCCCGAATACGCAATTTGGGAAGTAGTGAATTAGGTACACTACTATTCCTTCAAAGCAAAATTCTATATGAGGGGGGGGGGGGGGGGTCGAAGGTACCAAATTACTCTTGCCTCCTAAGAATCGAGATCCTAAACCCGGAACCCTAAGCCCTCGACTCAATAAGTTTCTGAGGCCATCAAACACGGCAAAGCCCTAGAAGCTCTAAAGAATATGCGGGCGTTTCACCAACTTAGGGTTTAGGCTTTCCGGTTTAGGGGCGTTCGGCAGTTGGGGAGGGTACCTCTGTGTTTCTACTATTTGCTTACGAACCCACCAAACAATAACAGCATTCTTCACTATAAGGGCAACATAGGGAACATTATCGTTCTTCTTGTGGGGTACTTCAGCAAAGGTTCCCCATGCAGAAGCACTGCTCTTGACCGAAACCCTAAACCCTAAACCCTAACCCTAAGCCCTAAGCCCTAAGCCCTAAACCCTAAACCCTAAACCCTAAGTAAGACCACGTTTCCTCTGTAGGCTGCTTCTTCCCGAGTCCACATTGTCGAGATCCTTCGCTCCGGGGCTGAGCTACGTCCATGCCAAGGACTGGATCTAGGGTTTAGGGTTTAGGGTTTAGGGTTTAGGGTTTGGGTTTAGGGTTTAGGGTTTAGGGTTTAGGGTTTAGGGTTTAGGGTTTAGGGTTTAGGGTTTAGGGTTTAGGGTTTAGGGTTTAGGGTTTAGGGTTTAGTGGTTTAAGGTTCAGGCGCACGAAGAAAGACACAAGCAAAGCAACAACGCACAAAGCCGAAGAGAACACGCCTACCTCGTAGGATTTTCCTTCACCCCCCATATAGGACATACCCAGTTGCGGCCTTACTTAGGGTTTAGGGTTTAGGGTTTAGGGTTTAGGGTTTAGGGGGTTTAGGGGGTTTAGGGGGTTTAGGGGGTTTAGGGGGTTTAGGGTTCAGGGTTCAGGGTTAAAGTGGTATCAATGCATGCGCCGCCCGAACTCTCAAACCCTTCAACCCTCCAGCACCGATCCGAAACCCTGTGCCGCCTGCGCCCAAAAGAGTCCATGTACCTAAATAGGGAATACTTGGGCTTTAAAAGTACATGATATAGAAAGACTTTGGGGCCCAAGTATATAATAATTAGGTACATGGACCCTTAGGGCCATCTGAGATCACTGCTAATATAGGGGCCTTCACAACTGGAATAGTTTCTTTTGCTTCTCTCTTTTTTTGGGGGGGGCGAGGGCGGGGTGGAATTATAGTATACTTATATAGGACCCCTGAGAGAATGCTATCAGCAATTGCTCCGGCCCCTATGCTACCTGCTTCCTCTTTTCAATCGAACAGTCCCCTTGTAAAGCCCATTAATCAGGGCCCTCCTCTTCTCCCAAACCCTAAGCCCTAAACCCTAAACCTCTCTACCCCAACCCCCAAAATCCTAAGCAACAAAGGCTCCCCTTGTGATGCCTACAGCTTGCAGAGAAGGACCTGCGCACTTTTTGCTTCACTGGCCACTATGGCAAGGCCTCGCGTTTGCGGGAAACAGCATTGCACCTGATAATCCCCAAACCCACAATTTGGGGGGTTTAGGATTTCGGGTTGTTGAAACCCAAATCAAAGCATCTCCAAGGTTTAGTAAATGTCAGAATCCCCACAGACCCCCATTACCCTTTATACTATGTGATTAGCCCGAAGTAGCCCTAGGAGGTACTGTAGTGTAGTGGGGTTGAGGGGCTTAGGGCTTAGGGTTTAGGGGGGAGGTGGGTTGCGGTTCCAGGCGGCGGGTTTGGATGCGAATTCGCGCCCAGTAATTATGGCACTCATTCCCTTGCTTAACGGGGCGGGTCGCTGGTTACAAGGAAAGCTCTCCCCTCCCCCCCCCCCCCCCCCCCCCCCCCCCACTCTTCACCCCCGAGCCACAAAATGGTACCCCCCCATGTTTTCATCTGCGGGTGATGCCTTTTGATCTTTTAAGCCCCAAACCTAAGACCTAAAACCATGAAGCCCCAAATCCCCATCGTAAACCCTGAAAGCCTCAGACCCCCCAAACCCAAACCCGCAAGCATTCATGGGCGCAAGTAGGGCTGCATGTGCCTGAAGTTTGTTTCATGTATCCGCAAGCAGCTACCCATGAACGTTCGTGTCCTAAACCGGCTGCCAAACCCTGAAGCCTCAAATTTGTACCCTATATAAACCCTAGCTGCGCAGGTTCTGCACAAGTCCAGCGGCTCACTTCTGCTGACCTCCGAGGTTTGCGCGGGCCTCTTAGTTTAAGGGCCGACTGTAGGGGGCTTCAGGGGTTTCGGGGGTGTGAGGTTAAGATTGACTTTTTAGGGCTCAGGGCTTGTTCTCCTATACCCATGTCTTGACCCAATCTGCCAAGCCCTGAAGTGTTGGAGTACTGAAAACCCTGAACCCTAAACCCCCTAAACCCCCTAAACCCCCTAAACCCCCTAAACCCCCTAAACCCCCTAAACCCCCCTAAACCCCCTAGACCCCCTAAACCCCAAGCCAGCCCCCGCCTCTCAACCACTGACCTTTCGAAAACCGAAGGCGCGTGATAGGGTATGTCTGTTCTCTCTCTATTTGCCAAAAGGATAAAAAGAATAATAATCCCTATGTCACCCTGATAAGGAAAATATGTTTTGTGTTTTTTTGGGGGGTTCTTAAGCAATAGTAGTTCCTCTGCCTTGAGCAGAGCTACTTTCGGTACGCCCTACGCCTCAAACCCTCCAAGCCTTAAGAGTCCGAAAGCCACCCAACCCTCTAAATCCCAAACCCCCTAAGAGCTAACACTTTCAAACCCGAACTCCTAAGACCCAAAAACCTAAAGCCTTAAATCCCCTTAAATCCCATATACACGCCCCTAAACCCTAAACCCCAAGCCCTAAGCCCTAAACCCTAAACCCTCAACCCTCAACCCTCAACCCTAAACCCTAAATCCCAAACCCTAAGCCCTAAACCCTAAACCCTAAATCCCAAACCCTAAACCCTAAACCCTAAACCCCAAACCCTATACCCTAAACCCTAAACCTTAAACCCTAAACCCTAAACCCTAAACCCTAAACCCTAAACCCTAAACCCTAAACCCTACCTGATGCCCATGTGCACCCCCCCTGCAGGCTCCGATAGATCGCTCCAGGCCTCAGGCCTCGGCCGGCTCCGTGCGGTTCTTCAGCCCAAAGGCAGGGTGCGGGTTTAGGGTTTAGGGTTTAGGGTTTAGGGTTGAAGATTTTTGCTGGGTTTAGGGTTTAGGGTTTGGGATTTAGGGTTTCACGGGGTTTGGGGATTTCGGGGGGTTTTGGGTTTTGGGGTTTTGAGTTTGAGTTTGTTGCAAGTGCTGGGTTTCAGGGTTTGGGGCTCAGCTAGAGGTTTTAGGATCGTGTTTAGGGTTTAGGGTTTAGGGTTCTAAGGGAATAGGGTTTTAGAGTTTATGGTTCAGGGGCTTGAGGGGAGGGATTGGGCAGTTGGGGCTTGCAGGGTTTCTGGGAATTCTACCCTAAAAACCCTAAACCCTAAACCCTAAACCCTAAACCCTAAACCCTAAACCCTAAACCCTAAACCCTAAACCCTAAACCCTAAACCCTAAACCCTAAACCCTAAACCCTAAACCCTAACCCTTGGTGCTTGGCAGGGAAGGTACCGGCGTAGAGCCCCCTTTCTGTCTGCTTACCAAGTAGTAGGCCTTTGGGAGTGGGGGGTTAAGGGTTTAGGGATATGTCTTCCCATATATTGGGTTTGACTTAAGATCGAAGGACCCTTAACCCTCAACCCTAAACCCTAGACCCTAAGCCTGCTTTTTTCAGAGCGTTTAGAGGGTTTTTTGCTTTGGCGCCTGCAGGGTTTTGGATTTCGGGGTGTTTGGTGTTCGGGACAGGTTTGGTTAGGGTTTCATGGAGCCCTAAACCTCTCACCCCAAACCTTATAAGCCCCAAAACCCTAAACCTACATGTCTCAAACCCCTGCGAACCCTAAACCCTCAACCCCTCAAAAACCCTCAATGCGCACAGGAGATTCTCAATTTTCTTGGCTTTCCGGCCTCTTTCTCGCTGCCTCCGGAAATGGCACTGCGCCATCGCTACAAGGCAAAGTGGGTTGGGGGTTTAGTTTTAGGGCTTAGGGTGGGCCTTTATCTGGAAACAAGAAGTGTATAAGTTACCGCAGCGGGCTGGTGTTGCGGGTATTGTGGTGCCCCTTGCTTTGGTAACTTCAAACAAACTCCTCTCCTGGACGTTTAGCCCTAAACCATACTAGGCCTTGAAGCCTAACTCCTAAACTCCTAAACCCCATCCTATGGCCCCAGACCCTAAACCCGAAGTCCTAGAAGACGACGTTGTTGAGAGGGATGCGCCAGGGAGTATACCGATTCAGGCAGAGCTGTATTTGGCACTAAGAGCTTCCATAAACCCTAAAACCCTAAACCCTAAACCCTAAACCCTAAACCCTAAACCCTAAACCCTAAACCCTAAACCCTAAACCGGTTCCTTGTCGTTCCGGTTTCACAAGGACTGAAGCATACTTCGGCCTAGATAAGGGGTGCCCCCATTGGGGGGAAACACCTGTTGCTAGGGGGGTTTAGGGTTTAGGGTTTAGGGTTTAGGGTTTAGGGTTTAGGGTTTAGGGTTTAGGGTTTAGGGTTTAGGGTTTGGGGGGGGCATTGTCGTACAAACCGAAGTTTGCTTAAAGGCTCACGGCTCATGAGCCTGGGACTCTCAAGTTCATAAACAAGGTGCCGAGGCACCTCGTTCCCTAAGTCGTTTCTTGGCAAGAGCCCTATAAAAACCCTAAACACTAAACCCTGAACCCTGAACCCTAAACCCTAAACCCTGAACCATGAACCCTGAACCCTGAACCCTGAAACCGATGCAACACCAACAGACTGGGGGGGGGGGGGGGGGGGGACGGTTATTGGATTGGAGTCTTTGCAGCTGGTAGCGTGTTATCAAACCGAAGTGCCCCAATTTCACTTGAATGACACCCTAACTACTCCAAACACCTGAACAAGAAAACAGCAAAAAGCTCCCAAACCAGAAACCCTAAACCCTCAACCCTAAACTCCTCATAGCCTGAATTCCGGAAGGTGGTGGGCAACTCGATCGCGGTCACGGTGGCTTCGGAACTGTTGCGCCTGCTCCTGCTTGGTCAGGCATTGACATCGAAAATGCCACTGGAAGTGTCTGTGGCTTAGGGTTTGGGTTTAGGGTTTAGGGTTTAGAGGGTTTTGAGGGCTGCTTAGAGGGCTTAGAGGGTTTAGAGTGTTTAGAGGGTTTAAGGTTTGGAGTTTCGGGTTCAGGGTTCAGGGTTCTGGGTTTAGGGTTTAGGGTGTAGGGTTTAGGGTTTAGGGTTTAGGGTTTAGGCTTTGGGGGTCAGGGCTTGGGGTTTGAGGCGTTCAGGGCGTAGGGCTACTTCATGCTGCCCTCAGAAGCAGGAGCTGCTCAGGCACATTACTCTTGCCCCGGTAATGCGTCATATCCCCCCTGAAGGCACTGTAAATGCGTAAACCCTGAACCCTGATTCCTCAATCCTAAACCCTAAACCCTAAACCCAAAGCCCTGAATCCTAAACCCTAAACCCTAAACCATACACCCTAAACCCTAAACCCTAAACCCTATTCCCTAAACCCTAAACCCTAAACCCTAAACCCTAAACCCTAAACCCTAAACCCTAAACCCTAAACCCTAAACCCTAAACCCTAAACCCTAAACCCTAAACGCCGAGCTTTTGGCAGGGCGCGGAGCGTCTTGCACAGCTGGAGCAGCCGCCGCCTACCAGGCCTCACGCCTTGCAGAAACAAGCCCTAAAACTGGGTCTAGGGTTTAGGGTTTAGGGGTTAAGGTTTAGGCTTTAGGGTGTAGGGTGTAGGGTTTAGGGCTTAGGGTTTAGGGCGTCTCGCCGCGCAGTAGCAGTAGATACGATGTGGAAATGGCACCCCTACCCAGGGGGTGTGGGGGGGCGGCGTGTCACGCGAAGGCATTTGCTTTCAATGCAGTCCAACAATTTTCATTGGTGCTGGTTCCTTTCTCCCAGCCGCAGTGAGCTTTCACAGGCCACCACCCAAACCACTGCCTGTTAGGGTTTAGGGCTGTCGCCCTCAATTCCCACCATTGTGGGCCGGGGGCCAGGCGGACCAAAGAGGGGCGGGGGGGGGGGGGGGGGAAAAGGGGGGGGGCGGAAAAGGGTGAGACAGCTTTTGGCTCTGGAAGGGGTACCCCCATGGCAGACCCCAGATGTCAGGATTTTCGGGCCCACGTCCCGGGGGTCTCGGGAGGTTTTCAGTATCACAATCACGCGCGTAGAAAGACGAGTTTTCGAACAAAGAAACAAGTCCCAATAACACTCCCTGGACGACGACGATCTAGGGCTTTGAACCGGAGGTTTAGGGTATTCCCATCAAGGGTAGAATCGGAGTACTCCTGGCTGGGTGGCCCAGCGACAGCTGGCCATCGGCGAGGCGAGCCCTAGCAACTCTTTATTCGACCACTCTGCAATGGCTCCACCCATTGTCCATCCAGTGAAGGTGTCCATCACTGCCGGATATCTTCTGGGTCCAGGCACCCTAGTAAAGGGTGGGTACGGCCTAAGCAACCCGGGTGGGAATTTAGGGAGGGTTTGGGGTCTAGGGCTCTTAAGGATCCACGTGCCTGTATTGTATACACTTGGGCCCTAGAGCTATTATGTCGGAACCCTTCGAAGGCCCAAGTATGTAGTATGTGGCCACTTCTCTAAATTCTTGTCCCTTTTGGGGTTACGATCTCTCCCTAAACCCTAGACCCCAAAACCCAAAACCCTAAACAGTGCCCAGAATTTTGAGAACTGACAATCTGCCCCTAAGCCTGTGAACAAGAAGCGTAAACGCAGGGTTTAGGGTTTAGGGTTTAGGGTTTGGGGTGTAGGTACACGGAACCTTCTGCCTCAAGGAAAGTCTTGAAAGACCCCATTTTTCACAAGCCGTCCTTATTGTTAATCTGGTTGCCGCGAGGCCTGCGCCGGCAGCGCCTGACGCGTGAAAGGCCTTAAGCCTGCGCCGCGAAAAAGGGCGGCCAGGATTGAGGGTTTGGGAGGATCTGGGATCGGACCCTAGGGTTTAGGGTCTAGGGCTTAGGCTTTAGGGTTTAGGGCTTCGGGTTTAGGGTTAGGGTTTAGGGTTTAGGGTTTAGGGTTTGGGGTTTGGGGTTTGGGGTTTACTGACCTAGAAGTCTTTGAGCCAGAGAGGATCTCCCTCCCCCGCGCAAAACAACAGACACACACACACACACACAAAGACAAAAAGAAGAGAACACGTGAAGAACAAACAAACATCAACTGTGAGAGAAGGACTGCGCTACGGTTGATGATCTACGGTATACCCCAAACCCTAAACCTCTAATCCCTAAACCCCAATTCAAGCCCCTAATGACCCTCAACCCTAACCCCAAACCTTGAACCCTAAGCCCCTACACCCCAATTCAAGCCCCAAAAGACCCTGCTGGGCGGCTCTTAGTAGGGAATGAGGGAATGAGGTATCCTATATCATCCTTTAGAGGGTATATAGAGGGCCCTAATTCCTAAACCCTAAACCCTAAACCCTAAACCCTAAACCCTAAACCCGAAACCCGAAACCGTGGCTAAGAACCAGGGGGACCAGGGTTGTGGTCAGAAGGCCCATACCAGACGTGATATCACGGCTTGGAGAGCTGAAGTTGCGAGCCCTGAGCTCCAAACCCTTTACCCCGAAGACCCTAAACCCTACACCCTAAACCCTAAACCCCAAACCCTGAACCCTGAACCCTAAACCCTAAACCCCAAACCCTAAACCCTAAACCCTAAACCCTAAACCCCAAACCCTACCCTAAGCCCTAAGCCCTAAGCCTTAAAGCTTAAACCCGAACCCGCTCCCGGGGCCAAAAACATTTCTTCAATCAGGCCCTGTAGGTGTCGAGAAGCATCCCGCTTCAGTGCTGCAGCAATGTTGCGGATTCAGATGATGACTACTGGCGACGAGATGGCTTGCCTGGAGCCGGAGGAGTTGCTGAGGATTTCCGGCGGCGGTGCTACGGGCCACGTGCGCGCCCTAAAGCTCCATTTGCAAAGGCTGGGAGGACCTCCCAGGTTTCGGCAACGGCTCGTGCAAGATGGTCAAATTTTGCCCGACGAGGCGGTTCTGGAGGCACCTTGCCTATTGCACCTGGTGATTTTCAATTTTGCCGAGACCTCTGGCGATGATATTGACAGACTGTTCCATGCCGTGGATGCAGACGACATGGCACAAGTAGAAGCTATCTTGCAGCGACCCCAAGATCCAAACCGAACGGCGCAACGCGACATGACCGCCTTACATGTGGCAGCCTTTGCTGGCAGTTTAGTTGCTGCAGGGTTGCTGCTCGAAGCTGGTGCGGAAGCCGACCAAACTGACGACCGTGGAGCCACGCCTCTTTTCGTCGCAACTCAAAGGGGCCACTTGGAAGTAGCAGGTTTGTTGCTGGAAACAGG